CTCTGTTTTTTAAAACTAGATTTCTAGTTTGCAGGACCATTTTTTTTTAAATGAAGTGATAATTTTGTCTATTGAAAGGCATACCCCTAAACCAATTTTAATTGCACTTGTATTTTTATTTATTCAAGTTGTGTCCTTTCTATTTATCAAGTGCTCAAAGTAGCAAACAACTTGAGAAAACCACAACAATTTAAACCATCATAACTAAAATCATTAATAGTGAAATTCTGGCTAAAAGGTGTGTTAGTTGCTCTGCTAAAGGTGAAGATGCCGAACACAATTCCCAGCACAGAGCACTTCATAGCTCTCTTACTATTGAGGTCTGTTACTCTTTAATTAAACTACATAGGCACTTACTTGTACCATGATCAGTTTTTTCTTCCAGGAGCGATTGAAGTCAGGCCATGTCTCCCCAAAGCATAACCACCGAGTATAATTAGGAGAATCATTGCGCCCCTCAATGTATCCAATCAATTCTGAGGGAAGAAAGAGAGGTAGGTGGGTTTTTTTTAGTACTTGGTTGCCTCACCACAAGAAAATACAAAACCTGCTCCCCAATTAGTGTCTGCACATGGTGAGAAAATCATGCTTATACCACCAAGTATCTTTGGGAGATACTTCAAGCTTAACAAAAGGGAGCAGTGAAATCTCAAGAATTTAGAAGAAATCAATATAGTCACCACTTTTCCAAGTCCAGATGAATGAAGACCCACACCCACCCATCGCTTCCCAAGAAGTTCAACTATCTATGGACCATTGATCAGAGAAAGGCATGGCAAGAACAGGCACACAGCTGTAAGTCAGGTGTAGGTAGCCTACATATGCCCCCTAACCAATCATAAAAACCTGTAACGGCTTTCCATAGTGTGTGAATCGTAGTTTACATGTTATGCACAAACATAGCCTGGTTGCATATCTGCATGTGTGTGAAAGAGAGAAAATATGGGCAGCCCCAACTATCACATAACATGCTAAACTACACTAAAATGGGGTCTACAGTTGGTAGGATGAACCAAGACATCACGTGACATTTTTTATTTCTCTGAGCACTGCATGTTACACTGTTTTGTTAACCTGGGTTTAGCATGTTGTACAAACTCAGCCCCTGGGTTCTGCACCCAACATATTTTTGCTAAGGGAATGGGACTTTTGGCTGCAAAAGAATATAACTATTCATGTCAAAGACAGGGGTTTCTGATCCATCATTTATAAAGGCTCTGCTGTTTTATTAGGATAGGGATGGGGAAGCTGTGGACCTTTCGTTTCAACAGGTTCTGCTAGCATGCCTAATGCTTAGGACTGATGGGAGCTGTTGTCCCAACATCTGGACAGACCCAGAATCTCAGCTATAAATGAAATTAGGGATCCTCTGCTTTCAAAAGAAGTAGCTAATTAACCTGGTAATGATTATCATGTCCTGCATGTTTGGAAAAAGATAAGGAAACATATGGCTGATCAATTTCACTTACTTTTCAGCCCTTATCTTTGCTTAAAAGGAGCCGGTAGTGTGATTTTAAGTTCAAGCTTCTGAAATTTTGGGATGGATTACATCTGGAAAGTATGCAGGCCCTCTTTTAATAGCCAAAGGTCAATGAAGGCAACTTGGGGCAAACATTTAGTGGTTACTTTAAAGTAAAATTAGCAGAGACATCTGGATAAGAGCTCTTAGGGGGCGGGTAAGAACTGTCTCAGTATACCTGATACAAACAGCTGCAGGTTGAAGATGGGAGCAAACTGTTCCTTCAGCAGCTCTCCATGCAGGACCCCATCTCCCGGCATCTCAGACAGGCTCCAAAAGACATGGCAAGTGCCTTTGCGCATGCCACACAACTGGTTCCCCTCAATACAGAGCAGCACACCTGGAGCCACTCCTTTGAGAAGGCGACGTGTGAATGATGCTTGCAGCTGATCGCTCAAAATGGCGGGGTCAGGCAGTAACACATCCGCCAAACCAGGACAATTGCCAGAGACACCAGGAGGCACAAAGCACAGGCCTCGTGAATTCCTGAACACTTCACTGAGGACCAGACGACCCCGATAAAAAGTACGAACCTCAAAATCCGTCTCTAAATAGAAAGAATTCCAAATTATCAAGGCTGAGGCAGTATTTTTATTAATTCAACTTCAGTTCACCCACACACGAAACATTTACTGCTGTGAAACAAGCAAAACTGAAGAAAGTTTAAACTCTACCACCACTGCAGTATACTGGTGCCAGGGAATCTGAGACTCTCTAAATGTTGCTAAACTACCAACCTCCAACTCTCTTCAGCCCTGGCTCTGCTGGCGGGGCCTGCTGGAATGGGTAGCCCAGCAACGTCTGAAGAGCCATATCGACAATTTCTTAAAATGCCGGGATTCTCTTATCAAAAATAGGAAAATTTCTCACTGCTGTCCTGCAAAAGGACCTATTTCTTCCTCTAGATTCAGGAAACTTACCAAACTCCTGGGTTGCCATCAGTTGTTCCAACGGTAGGATTGTGGCAATGGATGGATTCAATTCTAAATTGGATGAAGGTGGGCCTCCACAGCAAATTGTGTTGTCTGCCCCTATCCCTGTATATGGGACTTTACAGAACAAAATAAATAAATACTAATACTCATACTTGCAGGCATACAACTACATTCATTCAAGGAACCTAAAATGCTGAGATTTGGAAATCTATGGAAGAACAATAATTTCTGCATCATTATTTGGGCAATTACCTTCCTCCCCCATCCCCCAGGGTCTTGTCTCAATTTAAATCCTGTATCACTCTAAGCATCTCATGAAGTGAGCTGCAGCTCATAAAAGGTTACACCTTTTAATAAAATTAGTTGGTCAGAAAAGATGCTGCCAGACTCCTGATTTAAGGGGTCTAGGGTTCAGATCTTGAGAGCGCAAGCAGATTTTTATCTAGTAGAGTGGAAGCTTGAAAGTTTTACTCTAGCTGCATAATTTATCACAAGCCTCAAACATTATTGACCAGAACTGGCTCCATCATGGGCAGAACTTGGAGTGAAACTTACTTAGTAAAGTTTCTGTTCCATTCCACTACAAAGGCTTAGGTTTAAAAGAAAACTGCTTGAAAATATTCGACTAAAATGATGCTGAAACCTCTACTTTTTCTAATAGATTGATCCCATTTGTCTGAATAGTTGAAATTTTTTCAGACAGGGAAAAAAAAAACAGTGCACCTTAGCCAAAAGATAGAAAGCTAGCTGGACAACTACCGTTAAGCTTTTTATAGTATTTCTCTGCACTGTTGTATTAGAAGTTTCTTCACCCTCCAACAATGCCTCTTTAGAACATTCCAATTCCCAAACCAATTCTTGTCCTTGTTCCAAATGTCATTCGTGATTCTCAATAATTAAGAAAACAAGGACTCTTTATATTAAGTGAAAATGGAGACTTAATCTGATCATTATTCCTCCTCAACAGAGGAAGGGATAAAAAGTCTTTGTATTCCATAATATGATTTTCTTTCTACAATGTCTGGATTGGCACATGATGCTAAGGTGATAAGGTCATGGTTCATACAACATTAAAGCATAAAACGTAGTTTTCAAAGCTCAACACTGAATTCATTCTCTGTATCAAGTCAATATGGTTTGTCTGGCTTTGGCTTACCATTCTGTGTGCATGGAACTTCTTTGACTGCAAGACAACTAAGAATTTCCCCTGGATCCAGGAAGCTTACCAATTTCATCAGTTCCCCCAGTTTGTTCCAATGGGGTTACTGGCATTGTAGAAATAGCCAGATCCAATTTGGATGGAGACAGAGTTTCAAACCACCCCGGACAGTCTTCTCCTAGGGCTAAAAGTGAAGTATTGTAGAAGACAGAAAGACAAAAAGAAAACTTCATACCACAACATACAAGGCAAAACTTGGACTTCTTTAAAATGCAAAATAGCCTAATTTGCTCCCTCCCTTTTGACCATTTATTTCTCAAGCACCTGCCCAACCTTTTGATCCCTTTTGAACATTTTATTTTAAAGATACTTAAGAGCATGAGTAAAAAAAAAAAAAGGAGAAAAACAAAAAAAATGGGATGTACAAATTATAAAAATATATAAAGGCAATCTTACATCAATTTGACACTCAAGTCAGAAATTGTTTTTCTTAACAGCCAATATAAGGATCATTAGTCAAAATAATGATTTCTAACTAATCTGAAACAGTCTGAGGATAACTTTGTAACTAAGTAGACAAATCTAGAGCTTTAAAAACTTTTATTAAGAGAACCCAAACGCTGAATGTAGTATAGCAGAAGTCTATGTGCAAAATTATAATTCATAATTGGTTTCCAGGTTAAGTTAATAATAATGTCAGACTTTTTAAATATGAAATTTTGACATTAATGTATACACCCAGAGCTTGGTTTGCCTGTCCTCTAAAGAAGGAATTGAGTATAATTTCCAGTGGAAAACATAAAATATACTAGTAGCTGTTATCACATACAAAGCCAACTCAGTATTCTTTGTAGGAATACAAAGCTTAGAGATGCTGGTGAGAAAGAAAAGTCAATACTTAAAATTTGTTTCATTTTATGGTAAATAACCTTCTAAAATTGCTGGGCTTTATGACACTGCTACCAGATATGAAAGAATTCTCCAACCTGATTATTACATTTTCAACTGTTTTTTTTAACATTAACATTATCCATTTTAGCTGTCAACCTAGGAGCAATATACCAATAAAAAACATCTTGCACTAATTTTCTCTAAGTAAATTTGTCTTCCACTGATGTTCCCACTGTTGCCTATTAATTTAGATTCTGCATGCACTGAAATACAGTTTAACTTGTTTTGTGAATATTTCAGTGTCAACTTTATATACAAGCCCCAAAACTGTTCTATATTTTGTGTTATAAAAATTTCAAATGTGGTCAAGTCTCTAAGTGTTCCACCTGTTTTCTGCAATTCTTTTTGAACTGTACTACTTACTTGACTGTACTGAAATCAGTGAAGTGTTTCTGACCATTCCAAGGAGAGTCTCAGAAGATTTCATCTTTGTTTTATTAAAGGCTGTATCTTGCAATCTATACAAATGGTATCTCCACTTATTATCTTCACCTTCATGAAAATAAATATTTAATATGATCCTTTTGATCCCTATCACTCACTTTTATCAGGACTGGAGAGATCCAGGGAATTCAGCACATCCTCCAGTGTTTCATCCTGAAGAACAGGATGAAAGATCAGAAAAAGCATCTAGTCTCTCACCCTCCCTCTCCATCCTGAGTGATACCCAGCCCCAGGTTCTTCTTTCTATTCTCATTTTTCCATTCTGGTGCGTGAGCTATGTTAGGAGCTAACATTCCTTAGGACAGAAATGGAATATATGTCAGTAAGCACTGCCACCTAGCATTAAGCATGAGAAGCACAAAGCAAGGCTTCTGAGAAGCTGTTGGAAAGGAGGGAGAAAGTGGTGCTGGGTTAAACCTTTAAAGATATAAGAAGATGCCACAACTTCATTCTGCCAGGGGGCAACATGCTATGTTGAGTGTCTGGAAAGCTCTAGCAAAGGAAGGGAGCCTGAGAGTCGGTAGGTAGGTGACACAGAGAAGCACTGACCTGACTAGAAGATGAACTTATTCCCCAGGGCCTCCTACTTTCAGCTGGAACCAAGGGTGCATCACTGACCTCTATACTGGCTGCCCCCACAGCTGGACCGTTTAGATCTATGCAAGAAAATCACAGACAAGTGCTCTTTCACTCTGATCCACAATTCCCCCTCCTTTAAATTACATTGTCATTTGAAGCTGCCAACCTTTCTGAGGTTAATTCCTTACTGGCAATATTATGGTTGATTTTATACACTTTGTGAGGATCTTTAGAGTCAGTGCTGTTATCCTTCACCATCTCAATACCATCTTTTCTGTTCAGGGCAGAGCGAAAGTTTCTCTTCCATTCTGAAGGAGTTCGAGGATCCGTTCCTGGGTTGTAAAGGCTTCTAACAATGGCCCAGTCCTAGGCAGAGAGGCATTAGGTAAGAAAACCCACCATAGTAGATTCCACAATTGTCAAACCTGGCTTCTCTTACTCCATGCTCCCCATCAAGCCAGCACATGACTGAGTTCACACATATACAAAAATCTGATTTGCTTAGCATGTTGGGGGAACCAAGTCATATGATCTAGGAAAGTTTATGCAGCAGTAAGTTTCTTAGTCTTTAACAAACCATAATACTCTGTAGATTTTGATGCAAAAAACCAACAGTATTACCCTCTGAAAGTGGCTAAAATATATGGCTTAGTAATCAGATGCCTAGACAGATATCTAGGGGTGTAGAGAGTAAGGCAGATAACCTTGAGAGATAAGATCAAGTCCACAAGAGGTAGATAATATTAGGAAGCATCTCAGACAGACATCTCCCTAATTCACTGAACCGTAAGTAGTAGAAGGAAGTACAACACAATCAGACTTATAAGATTCTGTTATTATAGCCAGTTTCAGTAAAAGTAGTTTTAGCCTCCCTGTGTAGATTTCTTGGTCTGGTCTACCAAGTGGGGCTGACAAAGGGATACAGGTGTCCAGTAGAAGCCACCATGGTATCAATGAGTCATGACACCAATATGCAAATGATGATGATTATATCATTCACATGAATGGCACACATTATGTCCCTTATCCCCCCTTGGGATGTCAAAATTTGCAAGACAATGATAAAAGCTCTGCTCCTATTGTACATGCATTGCATGCCCACACACCCACAAAATCCTCCAACCTATTCCTCTGAAAATCTAAGAAAAAAGCAGACAGCTCTGCTCTGGCCATGTTATGTCACTGTCCCATTCGCTGCAGTTTCTGTTCTGCACCATGCCACTCCAGGGTTGTCTACCCACCCCCTCCCACAGTGTTTCTCAATCTGAAAAACTTTAAGATGTGTGGATTTGAATTCCCAGAATTCCCTAGCCAGCATGTTCCCGGGATTGAGAAAAACTGCTCTAGCAAATGGACACCTAACCTTTTGGAGGCCAAGAGACAAAAACGTAATGAAACTTAAATATGGTTGATTTTATTTCTCTCCAGTCATGTCTCAAATCGTTTCTCCTTTCTATCACAATAAAAGCCATTGGGGGGCTCAGATGTGCATCTCTGCCATAGTGCAATCTTATCTCCTTGATGCCCTCTGAGCCTGATAACCTTTAAATACTTAAATACTACATGATAAACTTTAAATACTTCCTCAGCTCTTGGCCATCTTGGCTGGAGAATTATGGGAGTCCAACACAACTCAAGGGCCCCAGTTTGGAAAAGGATCCTCTAGAGATTCAACAATAACTATTCAGGGGTCCCCACAGACTTATTGGTTTGATGGTTAAAGGAACTGGACTAGAAACAGGGAAACTTGAGTAAGCATGAAAGCCAGCTGGGTGACTTTGGGCCAGTCATTCTCTCTCAGACCTGGGTTTCCTGATCTGGTCTACCTTGTAGGGCTGACAGTCCTGTCCATGTAATCACCAGGAGTCCAGATTGACTCAAAGGACCATAACAACAACAAAAGGCTCATAATGCAGAGAGCCATCAGAAAAAGCTAAACATGAAGACTTCATCTGCAAGTCCAAATACTGGCTACCACCAACTGAAGAATGCAGAGTCAGGAGAAGATATAGTGAACCTCTATGATTGAAGGTTCAGACAGGACTTCCCTAATTGGGTGTCATGCGAATACATTGAACCACAAGAGCCATCATCCTGTTGGCATGGGATGTGGCACACATCCAACAGGGCAAGAAATCTCCACAAGCTTACCTCAAAGATCTGAAAATCCTCTGGGCTAATGCTCTGGCGTGAGCCATGCTTCCACGGCACTCGGAAGAGTGTTCTTTCTGCGTTGAGCCAGGACACACCTGGGTATCGCTGGGTGTCCAATTGCTCTACCAGCCAGGGCACAATGAGAGGCTTCTGAGCCCCCATCGAGGATTGCAGATATGGTGTCACAGTTTAAATCTGGGAGGGAAGAAGACAGAACAATGAACCACAATGCACTGGGGAAGTGTGGAAAAAAATGCTTTCCATGCACGGAGAGAACTTTTGGGAATGCAACATCCTGGATTGTTTGTAATCTCTTGCCATGCCCTACTACTTCCCCAATCTGTAGCTGTCCAGAGTTCTGATGACTACACCTTCCAGAATTCCCTCATCAGCATGGGAACTGTAGTCCAAACACATCTACAGGGTAATTGCTCGAGAAAAGCTCTAAGTGGTACTGAATTTAGGCTGCTCCCCCCGGTACTTCTAAACAGGGCACTGCTCCTCTTGCAATACCCTTTCTCATCCACAACCACCACCTCTCTGACTCGTAGCCCTCCGCTGTTCCCCCCAGCATCTTTAAACAAAAAAAAGATGGAAGACTTGCACAATCCTTTTCGGCAACCCTCGGCCACTTCCCATTTGAGAGTGTGGGGGGCGGGGGAATTTACTTCGGAGTAAATATCAGATTGCTCTGCAAATTTTGGAAATCCCACACAGAGGAACTCGATAGGCCTCGCGTATTATTCTTCGATTTCAGATTTGGAGGGTGGGGAGCACTTGCGGGAGACTTCGCCACTTTTATCCCTGGGGAAAGAGACCGACCGCCGAGCCCCCCTCCCGAATCAGAATTACCTACCTACCTCTTTCTCAATGGGACCCCCGCCTCAATCGAGCGGTAAAAAAGGGAGGTTACGAGCTTCCTCCGTGTCGTACATTTAGTTTCGATTTCCCGGCTCAAACGTCTTCAGCTGGGCACGCCTCCTTCTGGTTTCATCGGGGAGGGATATTATTCTCGATTCCACGGGTTTTTTCCGAAGACGCGCGCGTAGGCTCAAAGAAATGACCCCCCCAGGAGACCAGTTTCGGTTTTCTTTTAGGAAAGCGATTTCTCGCAAACGAGGAATCCAGGACTGTAAGAATCTAAGGTAGCATCTCTAAGAAATCACGCCGATTGGAGTTGGCGGAAGCCCGGATGAACATAGTTGCCCGTTTGAGGAAAGCTGTGAGAAATACTGAGGAGTTTCAGAGGAGAAAGGCTTCTCCGTAGAAGAAACCCAAATGGTGAAAAAGGGTGCCTGACGCTGCTCATTTTCCTCCCAAAGGAAGTCACCAACGAATAGCCCTCTCTGCAGCCCTGCAAGGGAGGGCACAATTGGCTAAGAAGGGGGTCCCGGGGGAGCCTGGACCGCCGGCTGCCTCCTCTGAGTTTTTAAGAGAGAAGGAAGCTTCTCCCACCTTTACGCCCTCGGGCTGTGTTGGGGAGGGACTTCAGTTCAGCCAAGCGGGCTGAGGCGTTGCAGGAGAAAAGCGCAACGTCTCTGGTGGGCGGCAGGTTGGGCCTCTAGAAGCAGCGCGTGGGCGAGGGCCACTGCCTGTGGACTTGCTCAGTGGAGGAGCCCTAGAAAGAGCAGCCACGGTGAATGGGTGAGTGCCCTTTGCTGGATTTGTGTCAAGCAGAGGCTTGGCGCTGTATGGAGGGCCCTGTGGATTGAAGACCTGATTACGCGTGACACTTACGAACAGACGTAGACTTTGT